GAGTAGGAGAGAAAAATTAGGAGAGAAAAAGACAAAGGTTTAGCTTAACAACGCAAGGGGAAGGAGTAGGAAGAAGAGGAGATAGGAGGGGGAGAGGGGGAGGAAGATGGAGGGGAAGGAGAAGAAGAAGAAGAAAGGGGGGGAGAAAAGGAAGAAGAGGAAGAAGAAGGAGGGGAAGAAGAAGGAGAAGAAGAAGAAGAAGAAGAAGAAGAAGAAGGGGGGGGAAGACACTTCTCCACTCACCCCCTTGGATGCCTCCTTCTTGATAAAGCTTCCCTTCTCTTGGCTATGGTTACCTCCCTCTCCAAGCCTTTCCTTCCCCCCTTCTCTCACTTCCTTCGAGTACCCACGGACTCCTATCACTAAAACTAGGGAGTCCTCCCCTCTAGGAGGGCTAGTGGGACTCCTCTCAGTCTTTCCTTCTTCTCTACTAACCTGGGGCTATGGCGGAGTACCTCCTTCACTACCTCTAGCTTGTAGAGCCTCCCCAACTAGCTCATAGTCACTTCCAAACCCCCGGACTGACAGGGGTTCCCCTCACTACTCTCAAATTGCCTCTAGAGCTCCCACGGGCTCATTTGGGCAGCATGGGCACTCCTCATGCAAGTATGAGAGTGGCGGACTGATTCCCCAGCTTATATAGGCTGGAAGCAGCAGTCCGCTCAGTCCTTGGGCCCTCCCAAGTGCCCTCAAGGTGAACCGAGGTACCCCCTTGGCCAATTCTTACCTCTAGGCCTCTCCGGGGGTACCTGAACTTCTTTTCGGCCAGGTACATGCAGTCCGAGTGGTTGGTACCAACTCGGATTGCCTCTTGGCCTCTCAAGGCCTCTACCCCTTTTCCAAAATGTTGTTTCTAAGGCCTAGACCCAAAAACCGCAGCCCCGATTGGAGAAAAAGACCAACAAGGGCCTTTTCTCAGTAATTTTCTGAGTTTGGCCTACCTTGGGTAGGCCGGACCATTTTTCAATGTGGCGCTGCATTTTCAGCCTTGGATCTGACTGAGATCCAAGGCTAGGATTACTCCGAGCTACCCCATGGTAGCTCTTGCTTTAGTTTTTGGGCCTACAAGGTCCTTTTTCAATTTTTGATTCATCTGGCTCTCTTTTTGGGCCAAATGCATTGTTTCGTCTTTTTCTCTTTTTATTTCTTTTTCTTTTTGGGCTGCCACCTCATTCCGGATCTAACCGTTTTGTACTGGCCCACAAAAAAACGGTTATTTCTTCTCCACCATGAGATCTGATCGCAGATCCATGACCCAAAAGAAACCGGAATTTTCCCCCTTGCATCCTCTTTCACTTTTGCCCTTCTAATTTCAGATTCTGTTGAGATATGGCCCCAAGGGTCATATCTCAGCAATCCAGCCTGCACTCCTTGAATCTAGGAGGAGTGAGGTCATCATTGGGACCTGGCAGTCCCTACCTCAGCCATCCCAATATGCCGGCATGCTCTCCTCCACCCAATTCTCCTATTTTTCCTCATTTCTCCTTATTTTTCTGTTATTTTTCGTTTCTTTTTCTTTTATTTTTATTAGGACATGTGTCAATTTGTTGTGCACCTTCTTTCTAGGCCTTAGAGCCTTGAACATGGCCAGGTTCATGGCCGGCTGTTGGCCGTTACACCAAGCTGCCATGCCCATGCCTCTAGGGGGCTCATTTTACTCCCGTTAGCCTTCCTTTTGGGTCCCTAGGTTCCAATTTTTCTAGGCTATCCCGTTTCTTGCTTGGAGCCCCTTGGGTTCTTACTTCCTCATGCCTGGCTAGTCCGAAATACCCCGGACTGTTGGGCAAGCCCCCCCCTTATTATTTTTTTATTGCTCCTTACCCCCGTTTTCACCTGTTTGAGCCCCACTAGTGTTGGCACTAGTGGTGCCCGTAACCTCTACCGTCGAGAGCCTTGAACTCGACGGTGCCGTTTATTTTCTTCGGCCGCTCCACATCTTTTCTAGTGGTCTCCTCTTTGGGACACCTCAAGTCCCTGCTGCTTCCCGCGCTAGTCCCAATTTACCATTCCGCAGGCGGCGCCGTCGAAAAGGCCCAGTTTTCAACAATTTTTATTTGCCCCCCTTTGGCCCCCGGCGTCATCCCGGTTGACGTCCAATTTTTATTTGGGGCTTTCCAAGTCCCCGACAGTCCCATTTTATTATTTTCTTCATGTGCCCCTTGTGCCGTCAATGTTTTTCCGGCTGCGGGGCCCCCGCCGTGCCGTTGTCGTTTTGCCGTCACACTCCCCTCAAGCCCGCGACACCATTTTCTAATGTTTCTGGTGTGCCGCGGCCCATTTCCCCTAGGTCCGAGCACTCCCATGCAGTCCGTTATTTCTCGGACTGCATCCACCACCATTTTGCTAGCCCCATAGCCCCATGTCATGCCCCAAGCCCAAGGAAAATAAAACGTTAGTTTTCCTAAGACCTCTGGCTCACTTTTGGCTCTCGAAGCCCCAAAAACATGAGTTTGCCCCTCCCTATGCAGTCCGTTGCAACTCGGACTGCACTAGGGGCAGTTTCCCTTGCCCCAATGTCCCTTAACTAGCCCTCTACCAAAAGAAAATCAGGCGGCCAATTCCCAAGTGCATCCGACCTCAATTCAGGCTCCCGGTGCACTTGAAACTTGACTTTGGCCTCCCCCATGCAATCCGTTATTTTTCGGTTGCATGGGGCCTTGTTTTCTTTTAATTTTCTCAGCATAAATCAAAGAAAAACATGGTCCTTTCTAACTGCCACATTGCCCAAGTGAACCTAGTCCAAAATCCTTCCCCTAGGTGGCCGTTTTTGTCCGTTAGTGCCCTTTTGACTTTCCCCCTTTTACTTTTCTTTTCTTTTCTTTTCCTTTTCTTTTCCCTCCACTTGTGGACAGTTGGGACTTGGCAGTCCCTACTTGCTGCAGTCCCAACTGACGGCCAACTCACTCATCCTCCCTCACACCCATTTTCTTTTTCTTTTCTTTTTCTTTGTGCATGCCAAGTGTCAACTAGCCGTTAATGCCCTTTTCTCAACTTTCTTTTCTTTTCTTTTTATTTTTCCTCCTTTCTTGGACAGTTGGGACTTGGCAGCCCCTACTTGCTGCAGTCCCTACTAACGGCCAACTCACTCACTCCCTCTCACCCTCCTTGTTTCATTCTTCCTCATTTTCCTTTTCTTTCTCTTTTTCTTTTTGCATGCCAAGTGTCAACTAGCTATTAAGGTCCTTTTCTTGCCTCTCCCTCTTGGTTTTGGCCCTTCCTATGCCCAAGGGTCAGTCCGTTATTTTTCGGACTGCAGTTGTGGCCATTCCATGCACTTGGGAGCCACCGTTAGTCCTCCCCTCTCCCAAACGGTAGGCCCCCTTGCACCGATTTTTTCTAGGAGCCTATTTTTCTCATGTTGGCTCCCTTTGGCCCTATTTTCTTGGGGGAGGCCAATCCGAGATTTTTCGGATTGCTCCCATGCCTCCCACCACTTGTTTCTTTACTTTTTATTTTTCTTTTTGCCCTCCCACTTGCTCCCACTAGTGCTTGCACTAGTGGCGCTAATAAATTTGGTCGGTGCCGCTTGTTTTATTATTTTTTTTACACCACACACTTTGCCGCAATTTTCCCTTGGGACACCACAGGTCCCCGCCACTTGCCCCGCACTAGTCCCCGACACTTGTCACGTGCTAGTACCGTACTTATTATTTTTTTGCTTAGCCCCTCATGGTCCCCGGCATTTGCCCCACAGGTGCCGCATTTTCTGTCTAGTCCCGCGCGGTCCCGGACACTTTGTCCCGCCGGTACCGCGCCTTCTCTCGGTCTCGCGTGGTCCTCGGCACTTTGCCCCGCCGGTACCATATCTTCTCTTGGTCTCACGTGGTCCCCGACACTTTGTTCCGTCGGTACCATGTCTTCTTTTGGTCTCACGTGGTCCCCGACACTCTGTCCCGCTGGTACCACATCTTCTTTTGGCCTTACGCGGGTCCCTACTTAGCTTGTGGCCCTCTAGGCCTTCTTGCCGCTACTTCGTAGTGGCCCACCTAGCCTGGCAACGCTTCCCTTGCGCCGACGCCTTACGTCCTATTCCTTCCTTGCACCTGCACAACCTACGCCATTGCTTTTTCCAGAGGTCCTTCTCCGTTTTGGGGGAAGGTTCGCCTTCGCCACTTTCTTGCGTGCCTCCGCCGCTCCCTGGTCAGTCAATTCTTTCTTAGCCCAAGGGTCTCTGCGACTTTGGGCAACCTCTAGCTCCCTAGTGCCTGTGCTTACGCCTTCGGTCCTTCCAACATCCTTGCCTCTGGTTTTCTCTGTCGTGCACAAATCAGTCGTATACAGCCTCTCAAGTGATAGGAAGTCATTCGGGACTCCCCACTCCCGACAACGGTCACCATGCCAACCCGTTCGGATTAGTACACGCATGCTTGGCAACAAGTCCTTGGTTCCGCTGCTTGCGCAATAAAGGTCGTGCAGGGCATGCCAACCCTTTGGGACAGACGCTTCTTTAAATATTTCTGGCAGGGACTCGATGTTGACTCTGGCTGTGATCGTCGTGTTCTCTGCGACGTTAAATAATTCCTGAGGAGTTACGGGGGATCTACTTAAATGCCTCCTGATCAGCCAGATCAAACCAGGTGTAAGGCTCGTTGCATGCGAGGGTAAATAATGTGCAGGGGCTGGCAAGTTCGGCAATGACTTGCGGCACAGGGGTGGGCCGGATTGCACACCTTTAGACACGCTGCTCAACTAGATGCTCAGGACGTTGACACAAAGCGACCAATCAAGAAGGACACAGGGGGAGGGGGGATTCCGGTAACTGTTCGCAGTGGCAATCAACAGATAATCTGCCATCAAGCATACATCTCCAACATGAGATATTATTTTTTATTTTGATTATCTAGTTGTTACAGACTTGACTAACAACCGACAGACAACTGCAGACAAATTAGATCTTTGTTGTATTGTAATCTATTCTAGGGTAATCTAAAAATAGATCTGATATTTCCTGTAGGACCTAACATTAGTTGTAACCACATCATCTAACTGTTTTGTTCAGGCCGGCCGAAAACAATTATGTATCATATGTGGTTGTGTGTCATGCTAAGGTAGGATTCAGTGTGGATTCTAGTTTAGATCACACACACTGTAGCGCATGAGTGAAGACAGCAGTGAGGAGGAGGGAAGGCTAGTGCAACCGCTTAGGATCACACGGAGAACCGCTCTTAGTCAACCAATCGCTTTCCAGGAGTTAGCTCCTGGGGAGGAAAGGAGACTACGAAGGGAAGCAAGGGAGAGGGTAGCAGTGAGGAGGATTAGGGACGCCGCAGCCAACTTAGCGGCTGCGATGGCTACCGCCGTCTCTACGTCACAAACCTCTTCCCTGTCTTCTTCGTCTGGAGAAAGGCAGGGTGGATCAGGTGCAGTTAGTCAGTCTGCTGGTTTGCAAGTCAGCCAGCAGAGTCCACTCACACCGGAGGATTTAGAAATCCGACAGGCAGAAGAACTTCAGGATGAGCTGCAGCGGCAGTTTGACGAAGCAGCAGAGAGGAGAAGAAGAGCAATACTCAGAAAGGCTAGACTAGGAAGTAGAGTGCAGGAGCTAGGCATACTGGAAGGGCTAGATGAGGCGGCATTAGACCCTGTTGTCCGTGTGCTGCGTAGTGCTTTACTATCAGTGGCAGAAGCGCAGAATGTCCAGCAGGAATTGCTGACCGAATTTGTGGCAGGCCAGAAACAAATCCTGGCTGAACTTCGGGCTCCTTGTAAAGTAATGAGGCAGCCGCAGTTTGCTGTAGCTCCCCCTGCGGGTGCGGGTCCTTTATCGATGCCGTAACCCACAGAGCCATCTTTCTCTCCTTTGTTTGGCATGCCCCCTCCAGGTGGTTTAGTAGCAACTAGTGGTCAGGTTCATAGAGTCTCAGCCGTACCATCTACGACAGTGATCACTATAGTCCCAATGTCACCCAGGTTAGTGTGCAACAGCCTGTTTCAGTGGCTATGCAGCCGCTGCAGCAAGCCCCTGGGCCCATGCAGCCTATGCAGTGGATGCCCAAGATTCCTCTGTTGTGTCCTAAACCTTTTTCTGGAGACAGGAAGAAGGATGAGGATCTGGACACCTGGGTAAGAATTGTGCCTACATATGTGAGGCATAAGCTTACAAGGCCAGAGCAGGAGGTTGTAGTTGTTGCGTCCTTTTTAGAAGGATCGACAACACTTTGGTTGAACGGGTTAGTGCAACAGCAGGGCTATGGTCAGAACTTCGATGCATGAGCACAGGCCCAGACATTGGAACATTTCGTACAGACTGTGTACAAAAGGTGGCATGACCCTCAAGGAGCTCAGAAGGCCACCGACGCGATCAACATTCTTTGTGCCAAAAAGTACAAGAATGTTCGTGAAGTCACAGACGTTGTAGAACGTCTGATCGTAGTACCTGGTGTGCGCTTTGACCCTCACGTACTCCTCACAAATTATTTGAGATGTCTCCCATCAGAAGTCAGGACAAAACTGGTGGACGAAGCCTACATAGACCAACACAGCTTTGCTACATTCAGCAGGAAGGCCCTAGATATAGAGGCCAAGCTGGGATCCGCGCAACAGGTGTCTCATGATGGTAGGAAGAGACTCCCCCAGGACTCGAAGAAAAAGGGTCAGTTAATGTTCGTTGACCACGATGGTCAAACGACAGAGATTGATGATTTCCCAGACCTTGGGGAGGTGGCAGAGCAGGATGGGGCCAGTGAGACTTCGGACGGGGGAGTCGTGGCGCCTATCAAAGAAAAGGTTAGGGGGACCAGAGAGGAAGGTAGTTGGAACCACGGGTCAGGGCCACCAAGGGACACCCGCATGGGTGAAAATTGGTTTAGACTACGAGGTGTGGAGGGACCGAGTTGCCAGGGGCACATGCATGAACTATGGCAATTATGGCCACACGTCACGAACATGCCGAGGCGAAAAGGTCACAACGAAGGTAGCATCACCAGCAGTGGTGGGCTTATCTTCGAAGTCTGGTAGTGCTTCTGCAAGCACTTCGCAGGGAAACTCCTCGGGCCAGTAGGAGTGTTAGCCGCTCTTACTCGCGCTGAAGTGGTTACGTTCCCTTCCCCACTTCAGGCATTGGCCAAGGCCAGTGACCCACACATCGCCCCGCAGACACCATCAAACCCACCGACGCTCTGTTCGAGAGATGTGTCCAAGGCCCTAGAAGAGTTAGAAACTGAGTGGTCAGGGAAGGACCCCAAGGACTCTTGGGCGATAATCAGTAGAGGTCCAAAGGGTGAACATTTCATGGTAGAGGTTGATGTAGGTGGCCGCAAGGTTGGCGCCTTCGCAGACATATGCTCTACACGAAACTTCATCAGTCGTGCTTGTGTGGATAGACTGTGCTTAGGGGACCAAGTGCAGCGGCTTAGCATAACTGTAGCTTCTACGCTAGCCAACAAGCACCAAATGGTGGTAAAGGATTATGTCAAGGTCGTAGTCTGTACCTTCTTTTATGGAGGAGGGGAAGTGAGCCACAAGATCTCCTTCCTGGTTAGTGACGAACTGCCCTTTGATATGCCATTAGGCATGCACTACCTCAAGGTTTCTCAACCTCAGTTTGATTGGGATAGAAAGGTGTTGATACACAAGCTTCCAAACAGTAGGACCGTTAGGCTGCAAAAGTATAAAGCTAGCAGTCTAGTGGAAAACTACGGTTGCATGTGTGCCTCCTCTTTCTATAACTACTATAAACAAAATCGCGAGGAGGGCATGTACTTAGTTTTTGTCTCTGAGAAAGGGGAGGCTGTTAAATCAACCCCAGAGATAGAATCAGTCATCGCTCTATATTCAGAACTTTTTGAGGAGCCCACAGGCGTGGTAGAAAGGGAGGTTGTCCATGCAATAGAGGTCGTCCCAGGTAGTAAAGGTGCCTAGAGGACGAATGTATAGGATGTCTCCTGCGGAGTTGGATGAGCTTCGCCGCCAGCTCAAGGAGCTCATAGAGAATGGATGGATACGACCTAGTACCTCCCCTTACGGCGCTCCGGTACTATTTGTACCTAAGAAGGGAGGTACCTTGAGGATGCACATTGATTATAGGGGCCTCAATGCCATCACTGTTAAGAACGTGGAGCCCCTACCCCGCATCGACGACCTCTTGGATAGAGTGCAGGGATGTCGGTACTTCACCAAGATAGATCTGAAGTCCGGATACCGTCAAATTGCTATTAGACCTGAGGACCAGCACAAAACCGCATTTCAGACCAGGTACGGTCTGTACAAGTTTGTGGTGATGCCCTTTGGACTATGCAATGCACCTGGTACATTCCAGCATGCGATGAACATGATTTTTCATGACTACTTTGACAAGTTTATCGTCGTGTACCTCGACGATATTCTCATCTTTAGTAGGACTGTAGAGGAGCACGATGAGCACTTGAAAACAGTGCTAGGTCTCCTAAGACAGCACCAGTACAAGGTTAACTTGGAGAAATGTGAGTTTGGTCGCACCAAGATCTTGTACTTGGGTCATGAAATCTCAGCAGATGGATTGAGGCCTGATGATGCCAAGGTGGCCAGCATACGTGACTGGCCCAGACCTCAAACTGTTACTGAGGTCAGATCGTTTTTGGGGATGACGGGCTACTATCGTCCGTTTGTGAAGAACTATAGTACTATAGCTTCCCCATTAACAGATCAAACTCGACTTGACACCCCGTGAGAGTGGACCGAGGAGTGTGAAGCAAGCTTCAAGAAATTGAAGTACGCTTTGACACACTACGAAGTTCTCAAACTTCCGGATCCTGACAAGCCATTAGTTGTGACCACATACGCCAACCAATATGGCATTGGTGCGGTCCTTGCGCAACAGGATGGGTCAAAGTTGAGACCGGTCGAGTATATGAGCAAGAAGATGCCATCTCAAAAGTTAGCCAAGTCCACGTATGAGAGAGAACTCTATGCCCTATATAGAGCGTTTGTTCACTGGAGACACTACCTGCTGGGTAGATTTTTCTACTTGAGATCTGACCATGAAACTTTGTGCTGGATCAAGACATAACCCGTACTTTCGGACGCACTCAAACGATGGATACAAGTTATAGACATATATGACTATCAACTTGATCCCATAAAGGGTACGTATAACAAAGTGGCTGATGCATTATCGCGAAGGGCAGACTATCTGGGCGCACTAGTCACTGAGTTTGGCATATCCGACGAACTCACTCGATCACTGGTGGAAGCCTATAAGGGAGATCCAGTTATGTCTGAGATCATCCGTAGATTCCAAGCAAAGGATAAAAAGACTTTGGACGAATTTACGATGGTAGATGGCTTGCTGTTTCTCGAAAAGGCAAGGAATAAAAGATTGTGTTGCTAATAGCGAGTCATTGCGTAGTTTATTTTTAGGAGAATGTCATGATGCAACTGGTCATTTTGGCTATAGGAAGACATCAACAAACTTAGTGCAGAGATTCTGGTGGCCCTCTATGATGGAAGACGTGAAACGCTATATTGAAACATGCCAAGTTTGTCAAAGGGACAAACCTAGGACTCAGGCACCGCTTGGGCTCATCAAGCCCTTGTCGATTCCTGAAGGTCTTGGTCAGAATGTGTCCATGGACTTCATGGATACTCTTGTGACCAGTAAGTCCGGCAAATGCACATCTTCGTAATAGTGGACTGCTTTACTAAGTATGCAAGACTGATCCCTATGCCAACAACTGCTAGAACTGACTTTGTCATCAAACTATTCATGGACAACTAGGTAAGGGACTTCGGTCTACCTATGTCTATCGTTAGTGATAGGGATGTAAGGTTCACGAGTGAACTGTGGCAGTCTACTGCTGAACAAATGGGCACAAAGCTCCAAATGACGTCAGGGAATCACCCTGAGTCAAATGGCCAGGCAGAACAGATAAACCGGGTAGTGCAGCACCTGCTTCGGCATTATATTAAGCCAAGCCAGGATGACTGGGACGAAAAGTTACCTTTTGTCACCAGACTGTACGACAATGCTGTACATAGTACCACCGGTATGACTCCCAACCAGCTATATCTTGGTTGGAAGCCCAGATCTGCGATTGACTTTCTGCTACCAGAAATACAACCCACGACAGCACCTGGCAGCATAAAGTTTGTTGTTAAGTATGAATAGATGCTGCAACATGCCGTTGAACATATTAGGAAATCTCAGGAAGCAATGATTGCATCTGAGAATAAACATAGACGGCCTTCTAACTTTCAGGTAGGCGAGACAGTCCGGGTTAAGTCCGTTGAGCTTGGCCAAGAGTTAGGCATATCCCGCAAGCTAATGCCACAGTACTTTGGGCCCCGGGAGATCTTAGACATTGTAGGAGATCAACCAGATGGTCCATATGTAATCCGCATCCCACCTCACTTGCGTACCTACCCTGTGTTCCATGCCTCCAAGTTAGCACCTTTTGCTGCCATTGAGCAGTTTCCCTCCAGAAGATCAATGTTGCCCCCAACCATGGACAGCGAAGTGGACGTGGACCAGATCGTTGAGCATCGAGTGATGCCTGTTCCTCGACCATCAGGCAGAGGGCGCCCTCCTAAACTGAGAATGCAGTATCGTGTGAGCTTCAGACATCATCTGGATCCTAAGGAGGATCGCTGGCTCACACGAGAAGAACTCATGAGAACAACACCTCAAGTGATAGCAGGCTACGAAAGAGCACTCAAAGGAAAGATGCCTGCAGAATAAGAGACTTCTCAGAGGACTCGCGAAGTAAAGGAGGAGGGAATGTGAGGATCAGGGTCCTCGGTAGGCCTAAGGGCCCCTGTTTGCAGCATTGCCCGCCCTAAGTGAAGGTGGAGGTGCCCGCCCTAAGTGAAGGCGGGCCTAACATATCGCAAGAGGCCCTCGACTGTCAATTTCATATTTGGGGTCCCGGCAGTTGCGACGCGCCAGTTGGTTAAAAGAAACTCAGGCCAGGCAACAAAGACATTTCCACGGCCCTCCGGGCTTTTCCAAAGAATGCAGGCCCTGGGCGTTATTCGCAGCCTCATACAGAGACAGTTGGGCGCCCAACCAAATGAGGCCCCGCAGCCCAGTAGCTGCTGTACACAGGCAGCCTCCTGGGGCCTTCCGGAAGCTTCCGGGCCCAGGCCAGTTCAGCCAGGCTGCACGAGCAGGCCGGCTCTTTCCATATAGGGAAGAGCTCTCCTCTTGCGAGGGGAATTTGGTCACTTGCTGGCTGGCGGCAGCGCTGCTGGAGCGATAGCTCGCGGGCTGGCTGCTGGCCTTGGGAGCAAGAGGCTGCGCACGTGCGGTCGCATGGTGAAGCAGGGTGCTGCTGAGGGCAGCGCCATAGCCAGCCTTCATAGCAGGCTGGGCTTGGATGTACAGTGAGGCGCAGGGGTGGTCTTCGGGTGTAAGAGAGGACAGACGTGGGAGTAAAGTCAGGGGATAGGTGAAGGATGATGATGATGATGATGTGAGGGCACTTACCTTGTATTGGCGATTGTCTGCATGAGCGACATCTTCAAGTACTTCGGGTTGCTGCTGATGTTAACAGTTGCATTGTCAATTAGTAGGCTGTAGTAGTTGTGTTAGGAGTAGGCTGGGCGCTGAGCGCTAAGTAGGAGAGTGAAAGGACTGAACTCTTGTGTTGATGAGGAGAGAGTATGCTCTCCATGACATTGGTTTTCAGTACTATGAACCTCCATTGGTGTATTATTGGTGCAATGCTGCTCTCTGGACACGATGTAACTATCTGGCTTTCAATGTGATGGTGTAATCTGGAATTGTCATCTCGCTGTTGCTTATTTTCCTTGCAAATTTTATTAATTATATATTTTTTTGTTCTCTCGAAATTTTCGCAAAGCTCCAACTTTTCATTCTTGATTAGTGGCTCCTTATCTGGGCGATCCACTCGATTCCTCCAGTCCCCACCTCTTCCGCCCAACTCCTTCTCCTCTTCTTCTTGCTCAACTGCCCATACAGCCTTAGTAAGTCCCTACTTTTGCAGGCCACGTCAGCTACCCGCAGCACATGACCCTACTCACTTGTTCATAGACAGCAGGGATGGATAAGAAAGTCAGAGAGACCGACGAGGCCTATGAGGCACGGTTGGCGGCCATCATGGCCGAAAGCAAGCAACGGGCAGAAGCATCAACAGCAGCACGGAAGAAGAGGGAGGCAGAGGCAGAGAGGCTGCGTCTGGTGGCCGAAGAACAACGACAGAAACACGCAGCAGCAGCAGCAAAGGCCGTGGATGAAGAACGTGTACGGCGGCGGGAGATTCTCTTCAAGGAGGAAACTGTGTTACACGCACAGGCCAGGGATTGACAGAAGGAGGCCGAGAATGGGGACTCCGTTGACTACGGGACCAGGATTGCTCTCTTGCTCAACCGCGTCACGGACCTCCTCGCTACTTGCATTGCACAGCAGGAGGACATCCACTCTCTAGACTACGCCAATCATGCGCTGACTAAGCGCATACAACAGCTAGAGCAGCGACCCGTTGCCACCTCCAGCGCCGGCCCCTCCGACCTCGTCAACGCATCTACGTCTTGGAGATAGACGTGGGAACGCTCAAGACCGAGACACAACAACTGGACCAACAGGTGGGGGCAGCAGCCGCACCTAGCTCAGCGCCACGGGAGAGCATTCCCAAGTTCGACGGGATCCCGATCTTTTGCGACGCAACGAAGATGGACCCAATACCTTGGTGGCGCCAATTCGAACTCATACTGGGCATCCACAAGGTTGTCGACATGAATCGACACGCATACCTGTACTCTCTATCAGGGGGTGCGTGCTAGGCATGGCTGGACAACATGCTGTCCGCACACGCATGCACAGTCTCCGAGCTTCATAACTTTATCACCTGGGCCGATCTCACGGCAGCATGGAAGAAGCGTTTCCAAGTGGAACCGCCCGAGCATCAGTCCATGGACAAACTTCTGACGTTCTCGCAGAACAACATGCCAAGCGGAGACTGGATATCTGAGTTCCAACGCCTGGCGAGCACGCCGAAGCTGCCGATGAACTTCGACGACATCAAGCTTTACTTCATTAAGCGGTCGTGCCCCGCTTTGCAAAACGCGTTCACTCAAGTCGTTGAGAACCTCAACACAAGGCCGTGCAGATCATAGTGACGAACTTGGAAGCCAAGAACATTGGTCGTTCGTCGACTACCGGCCAGGGCGCATATCAGCAATGGCCGAAAGTGGTCGTGGTCGCGGCGACAACTCCAAGCGACACTTCAAACTCAAACGAGGCTGCCTTTTCTGACGAGGGAGACAGATTACCAGCTGCCCGGAATGGTGGCTGCCCCACCAAAAGACGAGGATGCGGCAAACCGAAGACGATCACCACTTCTTCCGGGCCTGGACAAGCAGCTCCAGCTCAAGAACCTTGGGCACAGTATGATCTGACGGAGCGTGGGTATCGCGTCCGCACCAAATACCGCTATTGTTTGTGGTGCAACTGCTCGGCACATGAGACCGTGAGCTGTTCCACGAAAGCCAAGGGCCCCACTCAGTCGGGAAAGTGAGCACCGCCGAGAGTGATGCGACGACACTCTCGACGCCTTTGGAACCGGTTGTCGTACGGGTAACCTCCCTCGGCTCCGAGGCACATGCGGAAGTCGTAAGTCCTCCCATTCTGCATTCTTTCGAGGACTATGCTGCCCGGCTCGTACCTTCGCTGAATTCACGAGCCCAAGGACAGGATGTATGTGCGGTTTCTTCTCCATTCGGAAGCGACGTCATTGAGTCGTCTTCAAGTGGACCTTCACAGGATTCGGCACGCGCGTTCAACATAGAGGACTCGGACCCGTTGACGCCCGAGGATTTTGCATGGCTCCCTCTCCCTTCCACCGGCTGCTTACCGGAGCCGCAATGCGCAACTCTTAACGCTCATCTACATACATATCTGGCCTTCTATGCACCACCAACTTCGCCGACGAAGGACGAAGTCGCAGTGGGGGACATTCTTGCGTATGTTAGCAAGGTGGCCCGCCAGTTTCGCACGCAGCGGTACAACGACAACAACGCACCACTCCTTTATGTCCGCATCCAAATTGGGCAAGTGTCCTGCAACGCTTTGCTGGATAGCGGCGCGACTCACAACTTCATTAGCTAGTCCTTTATGCAAAGGGCCGGCCTTGGCCCATAAGTTCGAAGGAAGGCACACCCTACAGCGATCAAGTTGGCGGACGGTAGGACGCAACAACTCCTTGACCGCTACATCGAGGCCACACCAGTCTATTTCGCACCTCATGCATGCGAACCGGTGACGTTCGACGTCTTGGACACGGACGTCGACATCATTTTGGGCATGCCTTGGCTTGCAAGTGTGGATTATACGGTCAACTTCCATCAGCGGACACTTACGGTTCGCGACGCCCTCGGCACCGAAGTACCATTTACCATTCCTCCTCCGCACCCTTCGATCCGGTGCCAAGTCGTAACGGCCAAATCTTCTCGGGCCACTTGCGCTTACTAGCGGACCGACGAGATAGGCCTATGTTTTCTTTGAACCGCCGCGGCAGCCGAATCTCAACCCACGGACTTGTCTTTGGACCCCCGTGTGGCACGGTTGCTTGACGAATTCGCCGACATCTTCGAGTCACCTACCGGCATGGTGCCGGATCGGCCGATCCCCCACGAGGTCATTCTCGAGGCCGGTGCCATGCCGGCGAAAGGTTGCATCTATCGCATGAGCGAGGAGGAACTTACAGTACTCCGCGTGCAGCTCGATGACTTGTTGGACAAAGGCTGGATCCGGCCTAGTAGCTCACCCTATGGTGCGCCGGTTCTCTTCGTAAGGAAGAAGAACAAGGATCTTCGTCTATGCATCGATTACCGCAAGCTCAACGCACAAACCGTCAAGAACGCGGGACCTCTTCCTCGTATTGACGACCTTCTGGAGCGTTTGGGCGGCGCAAAATTCTTCTCCAAACTAGATTTGAAGTCGGGGTATCATCAAATTTCGATACGCCCCCAAGATCGCTACAAGACCGCATTTAAGACTCGTCGAAGATGCTCGAGATGTTCTTCCAAGCTGGTCTACTTGGACGACATCCTCGTCTATAGCCGTACCTTGGAAGAACATCTCGAGCATCTTCGACGGGTGTTGGAGACGCTCCGTCGTGCGAAGTACAAAGCCAACCACGACAAGTGCGAATTCGTACATCAAGAGTTGGAATACTTGGGCCATTTCATCACACCACAAGGCATCAGTCCGTTGTCGAACAAGATTCAAGCCATCCAAGATTGGCCGGAGCCGCGGAACGTCACGGATGTTCGTTCGTTCCTTGGCCTTGCCGGTTACTACCAACGTTTCATCAAAGGGTACTCGAAGATCGCGGCTCACTTATCCAAGCTTCAATGCGAGGACCGACCATTTGACTTCGGGACGGATGCGCGGGAATCATTTTTGGCCCTCAAGTCTGCATTACTATCTGTGGAGGTCTTGCGCATATACGACCCGCTATTGCCAATGCGCGTCACTACGGATGCGTCCGGCTACGGCATCGGTGTCATCCTCGAGCAACACGATGGCGAGGACTGACACCTGGTCGAATACTTCAGCAAGAAAGTGTCGGTCGTGCACTCAATCGATGATGCACGCAAGAAGGAACTTCTCGCCTTCGTCCACGCACTCAAGCGGTGGCGGCACTTCCTCCTTGGTCGATGCCAATTCCGATGTGTACTGGACAACAATCCGTTGGTCCTCTACAAGACCCAAGACACCGTTTACAACACGATCGCCCGTTGGATGGCTTTCATTGACCAGTTCGACTTCTTTCCCAATCACATTCCGAGGAAGTCAAACCGTTTTGCGGATGCTCTTTCACGGCGTCCTGATCGCTGCACTGCGGTCTACTCAACCTTCGAGATAGAGGATGACTTGCGGGATAGTTTCATCCGCTGCTATCGAGCCGACCCCGAATTTCACGACAAGTACGCAAATTGTTCCTCTCCCAATCCGGCGCCTTCGCACTATCGGATCCAAGAGGGATACTTGCTCGTTCACTCGCGGGGGAAGGATCTACTTGTGTGCCGCAAGATTCACACTTGCGCACGCGGCTTCTTGGCGAGTTCCATGACACCCCCGCCACCAGACACTTTGGAGTCAATCGCACGATTGGCCGACTCCGCGAGCGCTTTTGGTGGCCCGGTCTTCTCGACGACGTCACACGCTATTGCAAGTCATGCGAGGTTTGCCGATGTTGCAAATCCCACAATCATCGTCCATACGGCGAACTGCGACCATTACCGGTCCCCTTGCACCGAAGGGAAGCAATTGCCATGGACATTACCGGGCCGTTCCCCAAGCACAAGACGGGTGTGGATGGGATCCTCACGGTGGTTGACCGACTCACCAAGCTTGCCATATTTTTGCCTTGCCGCTATCACGCCAAGACACCGGAATTGGCCGAGGTTCTCTACGCCGGTTGGATTCGAACCAAGGGTTACCCCAAGGAAATCGTCTGCGACCGCGACACTCGGTTCATGTCCGATTTTTGGTTGGCGCTCATCAAACGATGGGGCTCATCCCTTAAGCCGAGTTTGGCTCGCCACCCCCAAACCGATGGCCAAACGGCGAGGGCACATCAGACCGCACAGGTCCTTCTTCGCACTCTCATCCGTCCTGACCAAAAGGATTAGGTTGAGCGGCTGCTGGATGTCGAGTTGGCATACAACTCGTCCATCCATCCGGCTATCAGGATGTCGCCCTTTGAATTCGAGCATGGCTCGCCGATCAATTCTCCGCTGGACACAATCATCCCATGGGCGGCCGAGAGCGACAACCATCTTCTCTTCATTCGTCGGATGCAAGAGCTTCTTGTCAAGGCACGTGACCAGATGTCAAAGACGCAGCAACGTATGCGCCAATAGGCCAACTGCCAGCGTCCTCCTTGTCCGTTCCGCACCGGCGACCTCGTATGGGTTTCCGCTGCGGAATTCAGCCTCAAACAATATATCTCTCGCAAGCTCCTTCCAAAATGGATGGGGCCCTGGCCGATCGTGGCACCCGCTGGGGACGCACCCTAAGGACCTTCATTCATCATTCAGGTGCCCGCCCACTTGCCCGTTAACCCGGTCTTTCATTGTTCCAAGTTGGCTCTCTACACGCCAACGGAACATGACGACTTTCCCGGGCGACGATCGCAAGACCCACGCTCGATGGACGGTTTTCAAGAGGTTGGCGACATCATATCCCAGCGATGTTACGGCAACATGCCGACTGAATTCTTGGTCCATTTCGCATACTGCACCCATCGAGCTGACCGCTGGTTGACCCGTGCGGAACTACAAGCAACAACCCCCGATGTTCTCGCACGCTACGAACGCAAGTTGCAAGGCAAGCCGGCATCTTCGGCTCCACGTCCCACCCGCGTCCAGGCTCCACCTTCAGATCGTCAGTTTCGCCCCCAACCCAGCTTGACTTCATAAGGAGGGGGGGGTGTTATATGCTGCGCCTACACACGGGCCCCATTTGAGGGGCCCGACGGTTGCTGAGGGGCCCCCAGGCCGCGCACCATACAACACGCGCCCTGGAGGCCCACGGCGGCCCTCCAGGCCCTAGGTAGCACACTAGTTAGATAGGCTTTGTTTTACTTACCTTTTTGTGTGTGTGTGCTGTCTTATTTTTGTCTGTTCAGATGTCGTTTCGGACTTGCAGGCCCAAGGCCGGACCTTGGGACTGGGTACACCGTTTACAGGCCCGAAACGAGGCCAGGCGCATTTTGGTGCCAGACCGGTAGGTGCAGACATCATTTCGGTCCTGCAGGTCCCAAGGCGACGCCTTGGGCTAGGTGCACAGGAACGGGGGCGTTTTTAGGCCAGGCGCATTTCTGCGCCTTGCTGCATCAACAACATGGTCTGGACGTCCGGTAGGGACCTAGACCAGTTGGGCCATTTTCTGAGGCAAGCATCAGGTAGGCCCAGCCCGCCCAGCGCTACAAATAGCTGGGGAGAGGCTGGGCAAGGGGGAGTTCGAGTAGCTCACTTCTGGAGCGACACGCTGCTGGCTGGAGGCAGCGTTATTCTGCGCCACACTGTGGAGTAGGGAGTAGAGGCGTAGGAGGTAGAGAAAGGCAGAGGCCTTACCTGCAAGCGGCGAGCTTACCTGGCGCCATAGCCGGTGTCCACGTGGTACCTGCACACGACGACGACCACAGTTAGTACAGTGACAAATACCTGCAGGTGAGACAGCAAGGAGGACGTCATCCTCGTCTTCTTCCTCCTCCATCTCTCTCTTTCCCTCCTTCCTCCTTCCTCCTCCTTATTATCTTCTTCTTCACATACGAGAGTGAGAGAGGTTATCGGTAGGTGATACAGGCAGATGCAATGACTTGCTGATTTCAACTGCCGAGATTGACTGCGAGGTTGTATAGTGTATTGCTGTGTTTGCTGTGTGCTTTGCTGTGTTTTTTTGTTTGCACTGAGGCCCGCCCGATGTTCTAAAAATAGTTTGAATTAACTGCAGTAGGGGATGAGTAGTTACCGGCCCTAAGTGGCCTTGAGCCCTAAGTGCAACAGTAGGGCCGATTTCGTAGAGGCCGAGTAGGCCCTAACTGAAACGATACCTGTAGGTCCTAGGCTAGGATAGTGTAGAATCTACAAGTAGGTTGGGGTAGGACTATTTAGGACTTTTGGCAGTTCATTTTCACGACGCAGCGTTTGGAGAAGCCAAGCAAGTTGGCGGTGGCAATTGTCTGCAGGCGGCATCCTGAGACCCTTGCCGCGGACAACAGCCATAGCTGGCCCTTCTGAAGGTTGCCGGAGTTGGGGCACCCTCAACGCATCTACCCTGGGGGTATCTGCATTTGGCCAGGCTATGCTGAGGCTCTTCACTGAGTGTTTGTGGTGGTGGCAGCCATAGTTGCCTGGTTCTTCGTTAGAGTTGTTCATCGGCACTGAAGACTTCAACGCAGGATCTGTTCTTCATCTAGGTGGTTGGCGCTGGCCTCAGGGAGGCCATTTCAGTATGGCGCTACTAACTGGGTGTAGGGTAGAGAGTGGAGTGTGGGGTTCTGAGTGTGGCGAGATACTGGAACAAACTCTGTAATGATATTGGGTTTAATTGGCTCTTCATCAGTCCAATTGTTATCCTTGTAGGTTTCTTCTTGTGATTGGTTGTTGGGAGTTTGTCAGAGAGTGAGAATCACGCAATGTTTTCTCCCCATCTGTGCATGGTTGAACTTCCGCTACATACTCTGATCTGTGTACAGTTGGACTCTTTCTCCTCTCCCCCTTCTCTTATGCATGTATGGGCGTGTATGAGACAATCTGTATGTGAGTAGCGGTAAAAATCGTCAAACTCCCAGGGAACACGCAGAGCACTTGGCTCTTGTTCTTCAGTCGTTACGTGACAGCCAGTATAAGATTAACAGAGAGAAGTCCTCCTTTGGAGTTCCCTCTGTCATCTATCTGGGTCATGTAATCTCTGGAGATGGTCTGGCTCCTGAAGCAGCCAAGATAACTACTATTCAGGAGTGGACCCAGCCACAGACAGTGAGGGATGTCTAGTCCTTCATCGGTTTAGCCTCATACTACAGAAGTTTGTCAGGAACAACCTAACAAAGAAAGACACTGTTTTTCTTTGGTCCCTTCCCTGTCAATTGGCCTTCACACGACTCAAGAAGGCCTTGACTCGTGCCCCAGTGCTGAAGTTGCCTGACCCCACTCTGCCATTCATCCTGACCACTGACGCCAGTCAGTATGGCATTGGGGCAGTTCTTCAGCAAGATGATGG